TGCGGCTCTGCGAGGGAGCAAAGGTGCCTCCTGTGTTCTCCTCAGTGGTGGGAGGTTTAGCCCTCAGGGGGATGGTGCTCCCACTGCTTTCCTGTGTCCAAGGACTTGGGAAGGAGCAGTCGTAGGAAAACTGCTGCCCTCAGGAGTGTCCTTCTGGATAAGTGCTGGTCTTTGCAGGGGGGTCTCTGTCAGGACGAGGTTGTGCTGCAGTTCCAAGGGGATTTGAGACCTGGGTGGTGGCTTGGCCCGTGGTGAAGTGTCCCCCCACAGTGACAGGCCTTCTCTGCCCCGCAGGATACTATGCAGTTGAACTAGTGAACGACAGCCTGTATGATTGGAACGTCAAACTCCTGAAGTAGGTGCCATTGGTTGGGATCATGCAACTGTGGTGTGGGACCAAAGCATCCCTGTGAGCCAGAGGGGAAGTGAGCAGGGCAGGGGAGCACCTTGGGTTAGCCTCTCTCTCGGGCAGTTTGCTTGCTGTCTGCACATCCCAAAGGAAAGAACATCTCCAGAGAAAGGGGAGATGATCTGAGGGCTCTGCAAGTCTGTCTGCTGTTCCTAGAGTCCTGGAAGAGGTTCATCAGACAAAACCCCGAGCTCTCACACCCTCCAGACACCAGTGCTGCCTTTGCTTGGGCCAGGCAGGCTTTATTTTTAAGCTGGCAGCATGCACAAAGGGTTGATGGTCTTCTCTGCAAGCCAGGAGCACAATGCTGACAGCCCGTGCTGTCGCTGCCCTCAGGGTGAGACCATCCAGGTACAGTAGTGCCGGGGCCGGTGGCAGTGAGCGCGGCGGAGCCGAGTGCACGGCCCTGCCTGAGCCTTGGCTTCTCCTCGGCAGGGTTGATGAGGACAGCGCTTTGCACAATGATCTCCAGATCCTCAAAGAGAAAGAAGGAGCAGATTTCATCCTCCTCAACTTCTCCTTTAAAGTAAGGCCCGTGCCTCCCCTCCTCGAGCTGCTCCTGCCTCAGCGAGTCCTCAGGCAACGTTCCTCAATGCCTTTGCTTTTTGCTTCCCTCTTTGTTCCAGGATAACTTTCCTTTCGATCCACCCTTCGTAAGGGTCGTGTCCCCAGTGCTGTCAGGGGGGTAAGTAGCTGCTCCTCTCTTCCCTGCTCAGTTTGCTGACAGTGCTGCTTCCTGCAGCAGCTCTCAGTGCTGACAGCCCCATAGTCTCCCTGGCACCAGTTGGCAGTGACTCTCAGGGAAGCAGAGATGGGGCTTTCCCTTTTGTGTGTTTCTTCCATCTGAGGAAGCAGTTTGTGTCTGTCTGTGCCCTGACTTTGTCCCGTTCCTCCCCCAAGGTATGTCCTGGGTGGCGGTGCCATCTGCATGGAGCTCCTTACGAAGCAGGTGGGTACCTCTTGGCTGTGCTTTGTGTTCCTGGAGCTGCCTGGCTTGGCTCTGTGCTGCTCTGGGGGAGCAGCAGGGGCCCTGTGCTGCCCTCACGCTGCTCTGCTCTGTCTGCCAGGGCTGGAGCAGTGCCTACTCCATTGAGTCGGTGATCATGCAGATCAGCGCCACGCTGGTGAAGGGGAAGGCACGAGTGCAGTTTGGAGCCAATAAGGTAGGGCTTGCTCAGTGCCAGGGGGCTCGAGGCACGGCTGGGAGCCGTGTGAAGGCCTGTGCTGGTTCTGGCTGCACTGATGGCCACCCTGGCTTCCCTTGCAGAATCAGTACAGCCTGACCAGAGCCCAGCAGTCCTACAAGTCCCTGGTTCAGATCCACGAGAAGAATGGTAAGGGCTGAGGGATGGAGTGTGTGTTTCTCCTTGCTAAGCTGGGCTCCCTGGGCCGAGCAGCCAGGCGAGCTGCTGGCCCACACACAGGGGTCACCTGGGGCAAGGTCACTTGGGGTGTTGGTCGATCAGAAGCTCCCCATGACTTAACAGAGTGTGGGCTTGAGCCCAGAACCCCCCTCCCCGTGTGCCGGGCTACTCCCCCGAACAGTGTGTACAGAACTTAGCAAGAGAAAGATTTTAGTGCTATTTGATGACAAGCACCCAACCTGGCACTCAGTAAAGGAAAACTGCAATGGCAGGTAGAGAAAGGACAAGGGGAATGGCTTGAACCTGCCAGAGGGGAGGTTGAGATGAGCTCTGAGGCAGAAGCTCTTCCCTGGGAGGGTGGTGGAACACTGGCACAGGGTGCCCAGAGGAGCTGTGGCTGCCCCATCCCTGGCAGTGCTCAAGGCCAGGTTGGACACAGGGGCTTGGAGCAACCTGCTCTAGTGTCAGGGGCTGGAACTGGAGGAGCTTTACGATCCCTCCCATGTGGTTCTGTGCCAGCCAGCAAGAGCAGCCACTGTAGCACAGAGCATGTGGCTGCAGCATCCCTCTGGAGACAGCAGGTCCCTGTCTGGGTGCTGTTGGTGGGAGAAGCCTCCCAGTACTCTGGGCAGCACAGCCCTGTGGAAGCAGGGCTCCGTGTGCTTGTGCTGCTGCTTCCAGCAGCTTTTCCAGCTGTGCATTCCCTCCCGCTCCCAGTGTCCCTCAAGGATCTCTCTCCTTTCAGGCTGGTACACACCGCCCAAGGAGGACGGCTAGCATGGATGCTGCAGGACCAACCTCATCTTCTGGATGCTCTACTTGGATCTCAACGCCGCCCCTTGGCTTTCTCCCGGGATGTAATAGCTCTGCCTGTTGCAGGACAATAATGGCTGTTTAAAAACTCTAAATAAAACTGTTTTAAGCAGTTGGGACTGAGCGACACCACTTGCTGGACCCTCGCTAGCAGCAATTCTTGTTAAGACAAACTTCTTGAGCCTCTTGTATTGCTGGAACCTTTCGACTCTGCTCCGGTCTCGAGCATCCTCCTTACCTATGCTATTGGATTTAATTTATTTTCTTATTTCATGTACACTGCTTTTTTTTGTTACAGTGTATGATGGATGTGTATGGAAAAATGTATCTTTGGAGAAAAGTTACAGTTTGTTAATTTGAAGATCCTGGTCTCACTCGTGTCTTTTCTTCTACCCCTGGCCCAGGGGGCACAGGAACACCCCGGCCTCTCCTGGTGGGGGCGGCTGCACAACCCGTGCAGGAAGGGCTGGAACAGCAGCCTTGGAAGAAGAAAACCCTTTTGGTACCATAGGAGAGAGAAGGGCGTCCATCCCCTTCCCTTCTGTGGAAGCGGGGAGGGGAAGAGCTTAAGGCTTTCCTGGCTCCTGCTGTGGATGAGGGGTTTGCAGGTGCCAGCTCCCCCTCCAACCTTCTCCAGGGCCTGTGGGAGATGAGCAGAGGCTTGGCTGGGGCCTCTCACAGCTGTAGTAGCTGCCTCAAGGGGAGTGGGATTTGCTGCTCCTGTCTCTGCAGCAAGGGGCTGAGCTCGGGGGTGTTCCTGGACCCGCTCAGCTCCGTGGGACTTGGGAGAGGCGCTGCTCAAGTCGTGCCCTGGTGCTTCTCTTCCCAGTTCCTTGCTCGAATGCCCCCTGCTCTGTCCCAAGGCTGCTGGAAGGAGCTTTGGGTGCGGGGCCGTGTCCTCAGCCGGAGGCAGAGCTGACTCATCAGTGTCAATGTGGGGCCATCAGCATTAATTCAGTGTTTGAACCGAACCCATTACCAAATCAAAGGGCCTCAGA